ATTTTGCAACGATCCTGCTAAATTTGTGAATGGAAGACTTAATTGGATCGCTACCCGTGTTAGTGATAAGAACGACTCATGGTTTGTTTTTTCATTAAATCTGGTCGATGAGACGTATGAAAATGTAGCATTGCCTGATCTTGTTTATGGTAATTTTGATTGGGAATTAGGGATTTTAGGTGGTAATCTATGTGTATTTGTTGACTATTATAAGGTTCGGATGGATGTGTGGGTAATTAAGGCATATGGACTTGTGGAGTCGTGGACTAAGGTGGCTTCAATCCCTTATTTTAGAGCTATTGAGCACTCGCCTTTTCCAGTTTTCATCTCCCATAATGATGAAATTTTGCTGCAAGATGGTTCAAGTTTATTGATATATAATTCAACAGACAACACTTTTAAGCATCCTCAGGTTCAGATCCATCGTGGTTATGAAATTCAATTCAGTTTGTACACGAGAAGTCTTGTTTCGCCACATTTTGTAGAGGAAGGTTGAAAAGCTATGGATCGATGAATGATTGATGAATATTTGTGCTATTGTTTCTTTTGTGGTCTTGTGCATAATGATAAATCTTACTCGATGATTCCAGATTTTGGCAAAAATAAGTAAAGAGCGAAATTTTGGCTCTTAGGCAGACAATTGTATCATCAAAGGGAATAATTGGTTCTTTCAAAATTTCATTCTTTACAAAAGTAGGTGACACGAACAAAATTAGCTTTTTTGAATCTTAAAGTCAGCTTGGAAGTTCCTCCAAAGTTTATTATCCTCCATTTTCTCTGACTCAATGGTTCGAATGTAGTGCAACCGCAGTTTGCAACATACCCCAGGGTGGATGAGTTGGTTGAGTAAGGGATATTTCAAATAGGTGGTCACAAGTTTGAATTCCCCTGGATGCTTTTTCGGTTGCACGGGGCTTGTCTAGTGTAGTTTACCTCTCCTGTGTGCACCCAAAGGGTACGACTGGGGGTTCCTTTGTCATCAAAAAAGACAAAGCACAGTGCCAACATGTTATTGTGGGAAAGAAACTGCTGGTTTTTGAATACTACCTTCTGCAGGGCAACACAAGATTGAGAGTTGGAGTTCCATATCATTTTGCCTATTAACTCAAGCTGACAAAATCAGACAGGGATGAGTTTATACAGTAATGCTTGCCACCCGAAATCAATCTTTTATCCATTCTTAGCAACATCATAGTCGATCTGTTACAAAGTGAGTTACATTACATTCTGCTGATGAGTAAAAGCTCTAAGAACTAAGAAGGGGGGTATTGTTTTCAGTTGACAATATATATGGGAGGCGAAAAGCTGTACTCTCGGCATGAAATCAGAGGAGACTCTCAACCATAGTGCATTAGCTCTTTTTTTTTATAAAGATCTTAGATTCTTTGCTTTTGTTGTTTGTTTGTTTAATTCTTGGTTGCTTCAGCTTGATAAAGTTTCAAATAAAGTTTTCTATATTTTTGTATAATCCTTGAATTTACAGATGCATCAAAAGGAAAGGTGTACAACAAGCAAATAAATCAATGTGTTTTTCTACTTAAATATGGAATACTGGTGTTTATCTATGATAAGAAATAGGCAAGAATGCACGATAAATATGTAGAAACAAACATTTGTCCGATTGAGTGAACATTTAGCGGTGACAAGTGAGCGGATTGAGTTGAATTTGGGCGGGTTGAAAATGGGTAATAATTCAAGGGAAAATTGTATATAATCCTAAATTAATAAATCAAATTAAATGCTATAACCACACTTTGATTTAATTGTGCCCTTTAGCAAATTGTTTGTCAGTTGCCTCTCTCCATCAAACTCTCACTCACTACTCTCGCTCTCTCGTTCGCTCCCTCTCACTTTATACAAACACAAATGTATAAAATGTGTTTGTGTTTGTATAAAGCGAGAAAAAATTATACATATACATATATTTTCGTTCTCCTCTCGCTACTCTCCCAGATCTCGCTCACCATCCTCGCGTCTATCACTTATACAATTAGAAACGAAATGTATAAATTGTGTTTCTGTTTATATAGAGCGAGAGAAAATTATATTTACACCTACAAATACATATATCTTCGTCCTATACACTTATAATTATACTATACAAATATTTTCCTTCCTAATTTTCTTTTGTCTGTTTCTTTCTCGTTTTTTGCATACACAAATTATACAATTGATTTGTATACAACTGTTTTTTTTCTATATGTATAACGACTTATACAATTGATTTCTTTGTATATGTATAGTAAATTATGCATATTCATGTTTGCTACGAAGTGCAATTATGCAAAATGTGTTATAACATACAAACATGAATTTTATGTTTGCTATATGTGAAAGATGCCCATAATTCAATCCGTCCATATTTAATATGTGTAGGTTGGGTAGAATACTAGTTTATCCATATTTTTATGAGTAAATAATACTCTTCTTAATAATTCAATATAGAGATAGAGTTTCTTTTTAGAAGAAATATATGAGAAGTGATTCATTTAGTTTTATTATATCATAAAAGTAAAAAAAGAACTTATTTTTTTTTCGGGGTTGCCCTAACCCTAAACCTTCATCTTCTTATTACCTTATTTCACATAGAGTTATTCTTTCTACTAAATATATAAAAAGACAATTGGATATTCCTTATATTAAATTCTCGACAAAATTAATGCTAAAAAATAGGCAAAATTTTAGGAAAGGACTAAAAGTGCACCAATATTGAAACATGAAGCACTATTAGTACTGTATGTGAAAACTCAAGGATGACTTTGAGTCTTAACCCAATGATGAGGGACTATTTTGAGTCTTTCCTCAATTTAAAAAGGAGGGAGTATTAGATGATTCATCGTTTCCAATAGTTAATTATCAAGCATGTTAGGAAAGTTTCCCTCCGTCTATACAGATAGCTTGACTCCATGTATTGTTTCTTGACGTTCTTTGGGGTTCTTTCACATATTCATTTATTATTTATCAAACTAAATTTAGAGGTTTTTTGTGTATATGTTTTTTATACCTTTTTAAAAAAATATTTAGTAATTTTTTTAAAAAAATAATCTTATTTTCTTTATTTCGTATATTTAATCTAAGTGAATATATATAATTTTTTTAAAAATCATTTACTTAATATGTAAACCTTTTTTTTCTTCATTTTTACCTTTTATCCCTCTTTTTTCCTATTGATTTTATTTAATATTTTTTATTCTCTTTGCCTTTCCTTTTATTTTGATTACAATTTAGTATTTTATTTGTATTTATATTTATTATTCCTTAAACATAGACTCATTTTATACATTTAAATGTTGAAAAATAGATAAGTTTAAACTATTTAATGTTTACATCTTAATAGATCTTAAATATTCAAATGCGCATTTAGATTTAAAGGTCTAAATCTTGATACACATCTAAATATTTAGATGTGCATTCTGATTCAAACATATCTATCTTTATGAAAACAAAAGCACAACTTTAGTGAAAAAGGTGTAGTTAAAGAATGTACATCAAACTAAGGATCGTTTGGTAGGCCGTATTAAAATAAATAATCCATGTATTATGTATGATATTGTTTAATATTATGTTTGATAGAATTTGAGCACATGGATTAGTTATACATCCTACATCGTATTATAGGATGTATTACTAATACCTTTCATTTGGAGGTATTAGTAATCCATAGGATATAATACCATGGAATAAGTCTATGTAAAGATAAAAATATCCCTCAAATCATTTTAATTTTTTTTTTATTTCCTTGATTTTATGTTTATGTTTGCATTAGTAAATTTAGTTAAATAAATTAGCTTACAAATAATTTAGAGATAATTGTTTGTTATTAAATAAATTCAATACAAATTAATACAAATTTGGAATGTGAGTTATTTAACATTTACTAATTAAAAAGACAAATATATCACTACATGACTTTTGCGATCTTAATTTTGTGTATGTGTATGTGTGTGGGCTTTTTCTAATTATTTGTATTTTGAACTTCAAAAAATGACATACATATATTAAAACTATAATTTACAATTTTTATGTGTAACTGTAGATTGTTTATTCAATTTTATCATATTTGACCGTCTTTTCAATTTTAAAAATAGATGCTTAATCTTTTTAAAATTGAAAATTGACATTTTTTCAATGATCAATTTATTAAGATCAAAGTTATTTATCCTCAAATAATGCAAGTGAAAGAAAATAGGAAACATGACAACAAAATAATTTCTCTGGCCATAAAAAAATAATATCATCCGATAATTATCTAGCTTGACCCAATTACATAATAATTTTAGGGTATAATTGAAAAGAAGGTTTTAAAGAGTTCTAATCCATACACAAGATGGAGTTGAAAACAATGAATCAAAATACATGATAAAAATAAGCTCTGCATTTTCAGTCCCTGAATTACTAATTTCTACATTACTAATCTCTACGTTATTAATTTTTTATACCAAACGATCCCAATTGTATAAACGAAATAACTATAAATTAAATGACATGAAAACATGTAAACCAAGTAGATAAATCAATATAATATTTTTTGCTTTAGATGAAAAAGAAAAAACAGTTATACCTAAAAAAAAAAAAACAAGTTACTATTTGTTTCTTAGACCCTTTTAGAGGAAATTTGTTTCCAATTTATTTTTTGCTATACTGTTACTTATTTTCTGTTCAATTTTTGTTAATTCATTAACCAGCCACTTATCGGCTGGTCAGACCTTTTTTTGTTTTTGAACAATTTTAGTAATTTACATACTTGGGTCCAAATTCAATTAAAAAAAGGAAACAGTTTAAGTTCCATTTTATAATACGCACACAAAATAAATCTTCTCAAAGCATAATACCCCCAAAAAAAAATTGGAAACCACAATTTTCTTAATTACTTTAAGAAAAAGGAAAAGCTTAACCAACTTTGTCTAGGAAAGGGTTTCTCAAGACTAACAAAATTTGCATTCTATAAATACTACACAAGAATTCCATACACTCTCTATCAAATTCCATTCATGACTAGTATGGACGTATTGTCTGAATGCCTTATTCATAAAATACTCTCTTATCTTAGTTTTGAAGAAGCAGCTAAGTTGAGCCTCGTCTCGAAAACATGGCTACACGCTTGGTTAGCTCATCCCAACTTGGAATTCACCTTAGTGTCTTCAGAACATGGCCACAATATTCATGATAGGAACATTGTGGATCAAATAATGGAGCGATATAGGCAAACGAAAATCCCTATTGAAAATTTTCACCTTTCGGTTACAATTTTTGCTCATCCTTTTGCGTTCCCTCAGATGGATAAGTGGCTCGACATTGCTCTTCAGAATGGTGTAAAATATTTATCTTGTGAGGTTTCTCTCCCTTCATACCCTTTCCCTATTTTCAAATTCTTGGCACCAAATTCCTTAAGAGAATTGGTTCTGTCCGGATGTAATCTCATGGATCATTCATTATCTATTACCAAAATCTGTCATTCTTTGAGAAAGCTTTCTCTAAGTGAGGTTGGATTAGACGATAGCATGCTTCGAGATCTGCTCAATTGCTGTCCTTTGATTGATGATTTCATCATTCAGCATTGTCGTTCATTGACAAAGATTGAGCTGCGGAATCTTCAAAATATCAAGTCAGTGTCTATTAGTTGCTGCAGGAACCAGAGTGTGAAAATCCAGACGCCGACTCTACAACACTTGTCTTATTTTGGGTGTTTCCGAGAAGATTCCCCTGTATTTGATATTGTTGAATGTCGAAATCTAAAATCTTTAGAGCTAACAGATATGAGGGTATCTGAAGGATTTCTCCAGCGCCTTATTTCTACATCTCAATTCCTTGAGAGTTTGGCATTAGATAACGTTTCTACAAGGTTGGAAAGGTTCAAAATCAGCGGGAGTCCATCTCTAAGGTTCGTGGCGATTGAGAATTGTAAGGGACTACAGGAGATTGATGCACCAAATTTGGTATCACTCGAATATGATGGCGATCAGATTCCTGAGCTTAAAATTGCAAAAATGTCTCGCCAGTTGAAGAAATCAGAAATATATCTTGATAACTTGAAAAAATTGAATGCTGCATGGTTTGGTGAGTTGAGAAAATTTCTATCAAAGTCGAGCTCTTGGTCTCTAGTTTCCCTTAGTTTTGAGGAATGCGGTGAGATCAACATGAAAGATTTGGTACTGAATTCTATAGTTGCAACACCCAAAGTGCACGATTTAGTTGTATGTATAGAATCGTCTAACAAGTACCCGAGATTACTTGTGGATGCTTTGCTATGGAGTTGTCATCCTACGAGACTCGTCCTAAAATCAACCATTCAAATGATATGTTGTTTCATGGATCGTTTAATGGATATGAGGAATTCGAGGCGTTCTACTTGTCATGAAAGCAAGCGTCGCAAATCTAGTCAATTAAAAGACGTAAAAGTCTGTAAATTTGAGACGGAGCATCCGTGTGTGGAACTCGAAAGTGGAGAGCTGGCAATGAGGGACCTTACAGAGACGGAAACAGTTTCGTTTGAATTATATTGGTGATGTAGTTTAGCTTGTACTGAACGTATGAGACGTAGTTGTCGACTTATCACAACTCTGTTTTTTTTTGTTTTTTGAATTATATATATGAGACCTCTCTTTTCAACACAGTTTCGTTTCAATGATTTACAACTCATTTTGTTGAATGTACTTTTGAAACTATATATTCCATTAACAAGAGAGTGAAAGGAAGGAAAATACGAATTTAGTGAACAGGAAAAAACTAATTGGATGTGAAACAACATAATCACCATGGAAGATTTGAACATAATTTTTCTGATTCGCTGGCTGGACAAATTCCAGTCTTTCAATTAACATGTGTTCTAGTCTAGTAATTTGTCAATTGTCCGCATAATTCACTTAGACACCTCAACTAGGACTTGTACCTATTAGACACCTCTACTAATTCGGATTTGAACCTTTTGAATACTTTTTTGACAATCTCCTAAAAGTATGAAATGTGTGTAATACACTCCCGATGACATGGAAAATTGACAAATCAATTACGTACATGTGGCATTTTGACCGAAAAAAAAAGAAAAAAAGAAAAAATTGTCATGACTTTGAAATCCTATTCATCACGTCCACCATAGTTTCATCACCTTCAAATCCTCTTAATCCACTAGTCTTTTTTCAGATCTGCTTTTTTTTTTTAAGTTGAAAATAGCAAATTGCTTATGCATAAAAATTAATCAATACATGAACCTACAAAATATGAAGCACTTATAATTTTAGATATCAATAAAATCATTGACTACATAATCATCTAAGCATATTCGTTTTCTTTATTTTAAATTTGATTTGTTAGATATATTTTCAATAAAAAAAAGGAAGAAAAAACAGAATAGTCATTGTATGGGTCTATATTTTTTTCCGTAAATAAGATCACAATATTTAACAAATTTAAAGAAAATGGAAAAGAAAATTGTAATGGTGTTTCTATAGTTGAATATGATAGAGGTGAGGGGGAGGGAGAGGAAGAGGAGGCAGGAGAAAAGAAAAGGGTGGAAGATGTTGGTGGCAACATCATCGGCGAAGATGGTATTGGTTTTGGAAGAAGTTATGGCTAAGGAAGAAGGAAGAAGGAAGAAGAGAGAGATTTAAAAAAAAACAAAAAAAAACCTAAAAAACGTCCTGACGCGCTGAATGAATGTGTATTACACCTTCCTTGCCATGTCAGCGAAAAATGTCAAATAGGTACTTATTCTGAACAATAGAAGTGTTCAATAGATATCAGTCCTAGTTGAAGTGTCTAAATGAATTATGCAGACAACTATAAGGGTCGCAGATGACTTAAGTCTATCTTCTATGAAAAAATAATTGATTTATATTCATTAAATTAATATATTTTAATTGAATTGATCATAAAAATTATAAGTATGAAATTTCTATGAACATCATAAGATGTCTATGTGAAAGATAATCAATCAAGTCTAATTAAAAATGATGTGCAATGTAAATTTAAAATTATTAAAACAAATAAAACTAGAAATATTACATAAGTTATAACTTCAAAACAAAAAATTTAACATAATACTCTTATAGCAAATTTCAACATTGCATACATAAATATAATTTTAACTTTTTTTTAAAAAGAAACATAAGTCTATAGCCTTACTTAACATAAATTCTATTTTAATTTTAAAAATCAGAATACTAATAAAATTATGCTAATGAGAAAATGCGCATGACATAAGAAATAGATAATACGAAAAAATTGCATAAAAAATAGATAATACGAAAAAATTGCATAAAAACACCTAAAGTAAGATTAACAATAAGAAGATATTCAAATATAATAGTATAAAATAAAAAAATGAACTTTTAGAATTAAAAAACTTTAAAAAATAATAGTGGTAAAAATTAAAACAAAAAAACCAAAATAGAAATTAAAAATTAAAATTAAAAATAATCCATTGGTAATTAAATCATGTATTTACAGAATGTAATTACCATCAATTCACAATTTTTCTGTCTCTCTCTGTAGAGTGTAATTACCCGTGCCAATTACACTAATTACTTACTAACCAAGTAATTACTTATTTAATCGGACAAAACAGACAACGTAATTACACCCAATTACATAAATTCAATTTTCAACTTTCAAACAACCCTTATTTGATTTGGGGTTTTGGACATAATTATTAGAAAGGAAAATTGAAAAAAAGTTGTTAATTAAGGTAAAAGAATTAGGTTATATTATTAGGTGGATCGAATCGAGTTAAAATTGTTAAATAAAATCAGATTATTATTTTTGATTTAGGATTTTTCATCCAGTTGAGAGATATGGATTACAAGTTCGTAGACGGCGATGCTAATAACAACTTTATTTTAACCTTTTTTATGTTTTGTAAGTTTAAAATTATTATTATTATTATTATTATTATTATTATAATTTTTATATATAATTAATTATAAAAAAAAGAAATTAAACTTTAACTCTCCACTCCCCACTCACTCCCACACCCACTACCCTTAACCCACTACCCCAACCATTTTCCACTCCACGTACAGCCCCCTTACATTATATACATACTACTCATACATACACAACACAGAGCAACACACTTTCAACGCATACAAACGTCTATTACAAAGAAAAAGCAAAAAAAAAAAAAAACACTGCAAATTATAATCGAGGTTCAATCAAAATTTTACGATATTTATTCTCTTTATTTCAGGTTAAACTTTATCTTAGTACTTTAATTTATTCAGGGAATTTGATGTAATTATTATGATACATTTCTTATACTTTTGTTTTATTCATAATTTGAATGAAATGAAAGAATATTTTAAGTGTTATATCTTTTTTTAAATGCTTTTTTTGGTGAAAAAAAATTGTTGTTGTTTGTTTTATCCAATAAAGATTGAGATTTATTTTTAACAATTCGTTATTGTTTTGTTTGAATAGAAAATGTATACTTAATAATGTTGACGTTAGTTTTAAGAGTAATAAAATATAAAATGAAAAGATATGGAAATGATGACAAAATTATATATTGTATCATCAACATTTAGCTTTGGTTTACTTTATTTGGTTTTACGTATAAAGCAAAAAAAATAATTTTTAATAACTAAATGAGTTTGAGGCATGCTAAAAAATATTTGTTTCAATTAAGAATGTGATTACATATCTTTTTAAGACACTAAAAGACACTCAAGGTGCAGTTATGCACCTTGGCCAAATTATTTTAATAATTAATTAACTTTCATTAATTTAAATCAAGAGGTATAAATAAAAATTATTAGGTGTGAAATACTCGAGAGGAAAAAACAATCGAGAATGCAGTTACGTATCCGACTTAAGATCAATAAGATTCAACAATAAAAATGCGAACAAGTCATGACCTGAAAATTATATTCAAAAAATAGTAAAAAATAAGTACAAGTCAATAAAAGCGATCGTGATAGAATTACAGGACTCGAGGGATGCGTAATATCTTTTCTTCGTTTAACAAAATTCCTTATTCGAATTTCTGGTTCACAAATCAAAATAAGAATCATTTCCTCTTGGACTCAATTTTAAAATGACGACTCTAAAAAAATAAAATTATTCCTAATTTAATGTCATTTATATTGGAAAAATCCGTATCGATGTTGGGATGTAATCTCATTCAATTTGTTTGTCCTACTTTTTCAGTCTAGAATGTTTCTTTTCTTTTTTAACGTCTCTAATTTCCACGTAGCATATTTAAGATCAAATAAATTTTATATTACTGAAGTAGGTTCTAATATTATAGAGGACTAATATGACTCCACTAAACAACTTGTAACTAACTAAAAAACTTTTAAACTGGACCAATATTAATATTATTAGCAATGCAAAAGCTCTGGCATGTGTAGTTCAATAGAAACACAACTCACTAGTTTATCTATATACACCAAACACAACAAGCCTCATTTAGGATCTCTCAAATATAATTATAGAATCAAAATGTGTTGTAAATCATTGAATTCCTTAACTGAATACTTCAATTTAATTCTCTCTACTTGTTCACCAGCTTTCAGTAATCTTCAAACTATTTTGGGAATATCTCCACCAAATATGACTTATCGACAGGCTACAATATTATTTATAATAATATACTCGCACGGAAAAAAAAATTAGAAAAAGAGAAATAATTTTATAATATATTTATGGACAAAACAGAGGATAATAGTAGTAAGAAAAAGATTTCTTTTAATAATATATTTATGACAATATAATATATTTTTATGATTGTGGTATTATTATTTTTTATGAAATATTAATTATCTAAATTATAATTAAAATCTTATTTTTATTCAATTAAATCTTAACCATTAGTTTTTACCTATGTCATGTGTCTCACATTGAAGCAAGAACTTGGAAAAAATGAAGGAAAGGAAAATGGAGAGGAGCCGAATCCGTAATTTTCATAGTAAATTTTCTTTCAACTTCTCGAAAACCAATTTAAAATTCAAACTCATACCTAAGTTTTCGAACTCCAAGTTGACATCAACTTTTTATACCATGACTTTGCCATTTAACACCTAAAATACTTTTTGAAATACTAATAAATAACACCCAAAAATGAAAATTCCTTGTAATCCCACAAAGCTTGAACAAGTCCAAACTGACGACTTCATAAAGTAGACGCCATTGACTTAAATAATCAATGGTCATTTTCCTATTGATGAATTTCTGTTATTAATCCACACAACAAAAAAATAATATTAGACTTAGCAACACATCCACACTACCAAACCACACACAAAAAAAATGTATTCTAGTCATTTTATTTCATTCCTTTTCCTTTCTCTTCTAATTTCCGGCATCTTTTCGGACCTTAACGCGGATAGAGCCGGTCTACTCCACCTGAGTGCGGCCTTCAGAGGCCGCACTCTTAGGTGGAACACAACCAATTCAATCCCATGCTCATGGGAAGGTGTCACATGTGATACTACAATCAACCGTGTTATTGAACTCCGTCTCCCCGGATATGGTCTATCCGGTGAGATGCCCTTAAATTCCATCGGAAACT